TGGTGACCACCCCCACAACCATCAAATGATTTTCATTGCTACATCAGAACTGTCATTTTGCTACTGTTATGAATCAGGTGACCCCTGTGAAAGAGTCATTCAACCACCCAAAGTGGTCGTGACCCACAGGTGGAGAATCTCTGCTCTAGTGCATCTTGGACTTCTTCCTCCCTTCATTCTTTCCATTGGTGCTTGATCACATGCTACGTCTTGAAATGGTTGGTTGACCAATTAATTTTGGTACAGTGACTATACATTCCTATCATCTTGATATTTTCTGCATCATTGAATATTTTGTCTGTGGAATCCTTAACTATTTCAACTCTTGGCTTGAATTTTTCAGCTTGAGATATGCTGAACATGTTTTTCCTGTTTTAGCCTTCTAACTCCAAGAATGTGCTTATTTCATCGTGATATTCTACTGTCTTCTTGGGCTTCCCTTTGAAATTTTCTTTTCAACTCTCTTACTTTATCATTGCTTCCATTTCCTTTGGCTACTCTACATTCAAGAGTGCATTTCACAGTCTCTTCTGACATACACTTTGGGTGTTATATTTTTTGCCAAAGGAGTTTTGTTCATAGAATTCACAGATGGCAGTGAAAAGCTCACTGGATTAGGCAGACTTTATAGGGTAACAGTTAAGAAATTTGAGTTTGGTTGTCAGGCAGTCCTTAGTTTAGATTCCCAATCTTCATTTCCTCTGCTTCAAAGTAGAGTTAATAAATATGATCTGTCTTACAAGGAAGTGTAAGACTACCAGAAATAACACGCAGCACATAACTCAGAACCATTGAGTCCACGCTGACTCATAGTGACCCTATAGTAAGGTGACCAGACGTGCCGCTTTTGGCGTCCCACAGCGTTTTAAAAAAGTCCCGATTTTTGGAAAGAATGCATGACAAGCTAGGGTATAAGGTTTTCGGCTGCCGTGTGGCTATTTCTCCAGGATATGAGTTCTATCAGTGGTGTCCCGCTTTACCAATGTTAAAATCTGGTCGCCTTACCCTATAGGACAAAGTAGAACTGCCCCTGTGAGTTTCCAAGATTGGAACTCTTTATGGGAGTAGAAAGTCCTGTCTTTCTCCATGGAGCTGGCTGGTGGTGTCGAATTGTTGACCTTGCAGTTAGTAGTCCAATTTGTAACCACTATGCCACCAGAGCTCCTACATGCAGCATAGAATTTACAATACATGTTCATTAATATTATTACTACTATCAGTTAAATAGGCCGTTGGAATGCTGGGTTTTCACTCGCTTCTATCGTGTAAGTATGCTTTTGATTGGGCCACCTGATTACTACTAGATGCACACCAACTCTAGTCCACCCAGAGTGGGCTGATCTTGTCAAGTTATTTAACTTTCTTGGGTAGTTTTCACCAATTCTCAGACAGTCATGACATTATCTACCAAACCTACCTCTTACCTGGCTTTTAGAAATGAAAAATTGGTAAAAAAATATTTGAAACACAAATGCCCAGTCACTTATACAGAGTTTGGGAAATGAGGCATCTAAAGAAGGGTGGGTTTTGTTTTTTCCCCCTGAATCAACTTACTGAGAAGTACAGCACACACTGCATGTAGGCTGGGAATTCGACTCCTCAATGTGCCTTGTGGAACCCGCTCATGAGGGAATATTTCCAATGATCCTACAGCAGGAAGCCAAGAGGATGGGATCCTGTGTGGTTATGAAAACATACCCAAGTCTTTGTTGTTGGAGCCCAGCATTTCTTAGCAGCACCACAGCTGTTGTATCCCAAGTTCCAGTTTCATACCATACAATCTTAGAAAATAGACCATTAATAAATAGGTGTTTGCCAACAGATTTAGGAGGAAGCCATGAGCCCCGTAGGTGACTCCCCCATCTGCACCCACATCTACCTTTTCAATCATCCTGGTTTGTCAACTGGACTAAGCGATCGCATGGCCTGCAAGGCAGTGGGCGTTTCAAAGATGCTGTGAACTCACGCTGGATGTTCAAGTTTAATGTTCTTCAAGAAGAATCTTATCTAACAGCCCTTATTTCATTAACTCCAACATGCTATTGATTGTAAGATGTACCGGAGGAGGGTAAAAAAAATTCTGCCAATTAAACTGAAAACAACAAAACACAAGCAGTATCTCAGTTTCAGAAGTACTAAATGCAAGAAATACGTATACTAGAATGAAACCAGTCACCATCGTGCTACTGCTACATCATTTCTCTGTTGGAGAGATGAGGAATCAATATACTTCGAAATAAACATAAATAAAAGGTATTTAAAAGAGTCATTAAAACAATCTAAAGTGGTATCAACAGGGGTTTGACGGTATAAATGATGACACGTGTACAATGGAATACAGAAGATGAGGTAGATACAGAAAGGCTGAGGTTATAAAGAAAACTTAGCTAAGGCAACAAGGAAACCACTGTGGTCATAAAGTTTTCACCTGTGGAAAGAAAGCACGTGTGTGAGGAACATACAACTAGGAGTGTGCAACACACACGCACACACACACACCCCTGAGTACATGTGTACAGACAATGTCTGAGCACAGGTAATGGTCTAGTCTAACTGAGAGTAGGAAGAACTTCGGTGTCTGCACGCTGTCATTTTATGGTTGTCGAATCCCCGCATATGTGTGCACATATTATTTTTGAACTAACGTGAAACGAGTGATGACTGAATTCAGAAATGCAGTCGGGGAGATCTAGATGACCTCGATGGCTTTGAGTTTCTGTTCAAGGTTTGCCTTTCTCTTCACAGGGAACTGGGAGAAGAGCTTCGCTTTTATTTTATGCTGCTAAGAAATTGTATTTTAATTCATGTATTTCAAAGCATCCTGCTTGGTGATTCTGTTTGCACTCTCCTGCTAACCCTAAGGCTGAGGGTTCAAACCCACTCCATGGCATCAAGGAAGGCAGGCTTGGTCATCAGCTTCTGGAGAGACTATGATGACAAACTGGATCACTTGGGATGCAGTAATATTAAAATTTAGCACCCTGTCACTTGGTCTCCCTTACGATCCATTTAAATTTGTTCTAGTTCTAAAATATTTTATGCTTCCTTTTCTATTTAGGTTTTTAATCTGTTTTACTTTGTATTCTTGTTAGTTATTTTAAAAATTTCTTTTTGTATTTGAATTCCAGGATAGGTAACTCTACAGAGACAGTGATTTGAGGAATGCTTCCTTGTGGGCATAGCAGGGGAGGTTGTGGGGAAATGGGGAGCCAATCATGAAGAATACAGGAGTGAAGAAAATGTTCTGGAATTGGCTGTGGTGATGGGTGGTTGTGTAATTCTTGATGCGATGAACAAGTGTGAATTATATGCTAATAAAACTTTGTTGGGGGTGGGGGGCGGAGAAAGAAAGGAGAGCCTGAAGCAGAGCACGTCCTTTGGACCAGGGACCCCGAGCTGAGAACCTCCTAGACTCAGGGGAGGATAATGCTAAGACACATGGAGAGCCCCAAAGAACCAGGCAGCAGAAGATGGAAAGGCAAGGCTCTTCCCCTGGAGCGGCGTCCTGAATGAAAACGTCAAGTCTCCTCAGCTGTGAGTGATTAAATCTCCGTGTTAAAGTAAAAAGACAAGCTCACAGTGAAGAAAACCCTATCCAGCAGTTCTACTCTGTAATACAGTGGGTCACCATAAGCCAGAATCAAGTAAACGGCAATGGACTTTATTATAAATGAATATAAACTTATTATTGTTAAGACTAGGTTTAATTCTCTAAGATTGTCTAAAAAAATAGAGAACCAGTCTGCCCTTATTCTAATTCAAGTGACCTCTACACTTTGAGACCAGCATTCTCTTTTGTAAAGTTCAAAAGAGAAGTTTACTTTTAGGGTAAGTTGGTGCAATATGATGCTTTTAACTTACCTGTATCTGGTTTCTTCTTCTGAAAACGATTTCCAGTTAACTGTCTCCATACCTAGAAGTTTGGTTTGGCCACCAACCATGCAGAACCAAACTGAAATAGTGCGGGAACCCTATTTACCTACGCTTGTCTTTCTTTCTGGTGTTTGGGGTTGAAAAGCGTCAGTAAGAGCAAACATTGGTTAAATTGTTAAAAAATAAGATCTGTAAAACTCTGCTCTAATTTGCTTAATGTATAAGGGCCCACAAAGTCTTTCGTTAACTTATATTGATGACTTTAAGGAAACTTTAGCCTTTCCTAACAAGTGAAAAGTGGCATATTCTATTTTAAAAAATCAACTAACTCCTCCCATTTTCTCAAGGCCTAGAATAGAACACTCCTGGCTTTCTGTATGAAATCCAAGCGCTGTTTCTACCAGGGGAAGGGAGGTAAGAAAGTAAGGGCTCCTGGGAGATAAAAACCAGGTAATTTGAGGAAACCTCAACTCAACTTCTCTGTGCCTGGTTTATGTCATCCTCACCTACATCACTACACAAGACAGGGTGGAATTTCTGCCTGGCAATCTAGCTGTCTCCTTATAGAAAAATCTTAAGTGTAGTGATAAAGATAGCCCCCACTTCCCTTATCTAAATTATTCTCTCCAGGAAAGAGAAAAACAGACTCGGGGAATTCGAAGTTTGCATGTTGGATGCTTTCCCGAATTCAACCAAATCAATTCTCGGTCTCATTTTCTCTGCAGAGGCACTGCTGTGGGAATTCCCGTTTCTCCCTGGGGACTGGCATTCCCTGATTTGTTCTGCGGACTGCACCCAGCTCTATTCAGTGGCCAGCTCTTAAATAAAAAGTAGATGGCAATACACCAGACAGGCTCTAGACAAGCTGCCGAAGCCCAGTGTTAAACGTCAATCACCAACTGCTTGTTTTATTCACACCAGATGCTACTGAAAAAAAAAAAAGAGGTGTCCACAAGTTATTTTTAACAGCAAGAGCGACTCTTCTCTTTTCCAAGGCTCAGAGAGCGAGCAGCCACAGGGAGCAACACTCTCCTTCTCAGAGGACCTGGCTGGAGCCGGGATTGTCTGCAATATGGCTATTAACCCACTTGCACGTGACAAATCCAGACCAAAGAGAAGAAGCATGCTTCGGACCGGCATGACAGTCGTTTATTTCCTCTGCAAATTGCTCCAAAGAGATTGTTTGTAAAACTCTAGTGTGATTAAAAACATAGTAGGTGGGGCAGGTTAGACCCCGTGGTGCTCTTTTGGCTACATCCCAAGTGGACCCAATATTGTTTTTTCTTTTCTTTTCTTTGGTTGTTGTTGTAGAAACATCTATGGTCAGACTACATATGCATCATATTGCCAACAAGAGCCTGATGGGGCCCTAGTGAATGAATGGATGAAGATGTAATAGGTTTGCCAGGGGTCAAGAAACCTGTCTAAGGTCGAAAAACACAGTGACGTAAGGCTTTGACAATTAGAGGAGGCACACTGGAGGAGGGCCACTGTAGTTAGTCTTGCTGGCATAAGTGAGCGGAGAGCATTAGCTTTGCACTGGAAAAAAATACACCAGTTGTCCGAGAAACGATTATGTGACTGTTCTCTTTGGAAGCAGAGTTGACACACCACGCTGATAATTCACTGGGGTTTGGATCAGGATCAGCAAAACCATTCTCATAGGACAAGCGATGTATTTTTTTTTTTAATAGCAATTAGGGTCCTGAGATTGGGAGGGAAAACATTAGCATGGATTCTTTGCTGACTGGAAATTGCATACATAAAGCATTGCCACAGTCAAGTCTATCAGTTTGCGAAGGAAGACCAGGGAGGTGCCCCAGGGTTTGGCCTGGTCTCTAAAGAAAGGGGGAAAGGGCAGAAATGGCTTTACTTTTCTTCTGTGGACAGGCGGTAAAGGGCTTCACCCAAGCTTTCTAGTTTCTCCTTGTGCTCGAGGTCCTGGTACAAGCTTCTGGGAATATCTTTCAGGCCGTAGAGCAATCCGAACAGGCAGCCTGCAATTGTCCCAGTGGCTCCACTCTCCCCTGAAACACAAAACGCAAGGGTCCTTCGTAGAGTTCTGCAGTGGCATGCAGGAAAGCACACATGACAGTGATCTGGAAAATGCACCAGTGCAGAGCCCTGTCCATGTCACCAGGAGCCTGGTGGCCCAGGCAGTTGGGCTAGACACTATCTTAAGTGGTGGCTCAAACCACGCCAGGAAAGATTCACTCTCAGACACGCAAACTCATTCCCAGCAATCCTGCAGGACAGGGTAGAACTGTCCCCGTGGGTTTCTGAGACGGCAACTCTTTACAGAAGAAGAGAGCCTCAGCTTTCTTCCTTGGAGCAACTGGTGGTTTCAAACTGCTGACGTTGTAGTTAGCAGCCCGATGTGTAACACCACCAGGGCTCTAGGAAAACCCTGTGGAACAGATCTACTCAGTAACACGTGGGGCCATCGTGAGTCTAAATAGGCTCAAAAGTATGGGATTTTGGGGTTTTGAATCTGTACTTCCATTCTAGTTTTCCAGATGTTTTGGACCATTTCCCCCAGGATGTCTCCACTCAGTATCATTTAAAAAAATCACTGTGTTCCCAAACAAATTCATCATCTTTCCCGCCCTCCCACTGGGCCAATGCTTCTTCTGTTCTCTCCTGCTTTTATTAAGCACTGAGGAGTGGGTGGGGCCCTGCATCTAAAGTTCCAAGACCAGAATTCAAGTCTTGACTCACTTTAGAACTGTGCAACTTGTACAAGCTGTTTTGTTCTCCTCAGCCCTGTGTTTGCTTGTTTTTAAATTTAGAAAACAATTCCAGACTTCAGAGGTTTGCTGGCTCTGAGAAAAAATGGAAACTTCTAAGCTATTTCATCCTTTCCTCTCTGGGGCCTGAACACATGGGGCCACCATTCATTTCTCTCTTCACATAGCCTCCATCACCCGCTAAGTTACTCAGTTGTGTTTTGTTTTATTTTTTCAATGTTCATAACACAAACACAGGGACACTCACATTTATCAAGCATCTACTGTGTGCTATACATTGTGCTGTATACTCTATGTGGTAGTTATATAAGTGGTGTCAACTTGCAAAGTGGGGGAGTCTAGCCTGTCAATCAGGTGGCAGCTTGCTGACATCATTTGGAAATGCCACTGAGATAAATTGCTCATTGGAGGTCAGAAACACACACTGTCTCTGCTTTGTCTTTCAGCTGAGCAGAAATATGGAGCTACGCTAGAGCCCTGGAGCTGGAGAAGCCATGTGGAGACCCACGCCAGTACTGAGATGCTTCCACTGCCACTGGATCCACAAGATTTCCCCCCACTGGTCTGTGATCTTCCTGCATTTGACGTCATTGCATGGCTGCGTGAGTCTGAAGCGGGTAATATCAGACTTATGGACTTGATCTGGACTGGGCAAGGCTGTTTTCTTAAGGTATAATTACTTTTTGATATAAAGTTCTCTCTTACACACATGAGTGTCTATGAACTTGTTTCTCTAGTCAAACCAGAGTAACACACTCCACATGATGTCTAGTCCTAATTGCAATTCTACAAGATAGGCTTTAGCCCACTTTTAAGAATGTCGAAACTGAGGCACAGAGAGGTTACATAACTTGCCAAAGGTCTATGACTGGTGAAAAGTGAAGTTGGGGTCCAAGCCCAATAAGTCTGTAACTGATATGAGTTTGGGGCCCCGGTGCAGAGAGTGAGTGTGATGGACCAGGGTGGGCAGCCCTAGGACAAGGGACACATGCTGGGAAAACCTGGGTAGGGTGGGGTTGGTCTGGAGAAAACAATCTAAACATTGATAGGCAGAAATAAATCAACCGGATAAAGTGTCGATGTCAACTCAGTCTTGGCAGCTTCTGTCTTTCTCAGCCCTCTCCTACTTCCCCTTCCATCGCCTCGGGTGGCAGGTTCTCGTGTGCCTTCCTTGGTGCTCCTTCACCCACCCACTGCCCTCAGGAAAGGACGTAAGGGTGGCAGGGGTGATCACTCCTCAGTGATAATGAGTCAGTGTGTGTCATGAGAGCGTTTCTGCTTCATCCCTCGCTTTAGTTGTGGAACAAAAGGTCACACAGCACTTTCCAGCCTCTGACAATATACACGATGGCTCTTACAACATACATGTGATTCTAGAGGAATGCATTTGCCGTCCTGGTGAAGGGGAAGGCTGGTGGAGGCTGGAGACCACTGTAGAGGAATGGGCATCTGCGTTCCATGTGAGCTTGCGTTCAGAAATGAACTCTCCATCCCGGCTTTCCCAGGCTTCCACACATAGCTTCTCTGCCACCTTTGGGCACAAACCAGTGCAGTCGTCTCCTCTCTTATCCTACCTTTCACCTCAAGCTGTCCACACCTCCCTCACATGCTCTGCGTGACTTGACTCTTGAGCTCCAGCCAAGAGTGCCGTAGCTATCAAGAAGCAGGAGCCGCCAAGATTGCATTTGCTTCCAGTGTGTTCAAAAATAGCTCCCGTCCTGATGATCCTTCACCCCTCTCCACCTCTCCACTCGTCTTTGTAACTCCCCTACCCTGCTGCTTCCTCAAGCCGTACCTCCATTACCATGCCCTTTCGTTCTGCCCGGGCCCCTCTTGGCTTACTCTTAGCCTGCTGAAGTCTCTGTGTGGTCTCTTTCAGAGGAAAAGTCATCCTTGGGTTTTCCTGGGAACTAAATGTCAGCATCTCCAACCACGTAGTGGCTGTATTTCAGACGAGCTCCTGAGGGGCTTTTGGATGCTGAAAGGTCGGGCAGGAGAAATAATATTTGGCTCTAATCATAGAAACTGATATTTATCAGAATCCTACCTCAAGCTGAGATTTAAACGTTTGCTCACTATTATCTTCTTTAATGCTCACAACAATAGAGGATATATGTATATCCTATATAGGAGCTACCATGATAAAAGTATGCACAATGAAATGAGGCAAATGAATCTGGTCTTATGGATTAATAACAGTTGCTATTCATTGTACACGCACTTTTTTTAGAAGCATGTGTTAAACTCAGAAGCATTTTATCTTGAGGTCTTACACCAAATCTGTAAGGCGGGAATTCTTTCACAAATGAAGAGAGAGGCTTCGAGGCTGATGTCGCTGGCAGGAACGACAGAGCCAGGATTCAACGCTGGATTATCCAGACTCCAACGTGACTCTGCACAGAGTCTCTAAGAGTGCAGTGAATCGGGTAGTCGGCAATCTTGGCCATCAGAAAGAAGAGTGTGTGAGGTCTGAGAGTCTTGTCTTAAACAAGCAGCCATCTAAGCGAGGCATCAGTTAGGTTCACATGGAAGGAATCCACTGGTCCGCGTGGTCCAAGGATTGTAAATAACAAAATTCAAGACCAGAGGAGGGATTGGACTAGCGCTTCCATTCTGAGCATTCAGCTTGTGGAAGGTTATGGATCACAGTGAAAGCCTCCAATCTGTTTGTAGACGCCCCTGTGAACCGGACTCTCTCAGACCATTGACCAGGGAGGGCTGTGGACCGTCTTGCCCTCAGGCAGAGTGTAATGGAAAATGGATTACTACAGATCCAATTAGATTAAAATTTAACATGTTTTCATTTGTTTTCCCCTTTGACCCATTTTAAAAAATCTGTTCTAGTTTCTTTGATCTTCTGCTTTGGACTGAGGTCTCTCTGTGTTTTATTTTGTTGTCTTCGTTGTTGCCTGTATCATTTTCTTTATATGGAATCCAGGATAGATACCCCATTGAGACAGTCATTGGATTAATAGTTACTTAAGGGAGGTTGGAGGGTAATGGGGAGTTAATAATAAAGGCACAAGAATGATGAAAATGTTCTAAAACAAGTTGTGCTAATGGTTGCACAGCTCTTTGAACTACATTTAAACCATGGAATGGTATGTTATATGAGTCATATGTCAATAAAATAGTTGTATTTTTTAAAAAGGTAAGGAGGGCCATTTTAGAGAAACAGGATTCTGACTCGGTCAACACTGCTAGTGAAATCTACCTCACTCTTGCATCAGTAGCTAGAAGAAAGAGGCGAGGAGCTCCCTCCACCCTGAGGACACCAACTGTTACCTGAGCTCAGTACTCCAGCCTGAAAGACTGAAACATGGACTGTTGGCCCATCCTCGGTTGGCCAAGAGAGTCTGTGGCTTGACCTGATGTCTACATAATCTCTGAGCCTGCACATCCTTCAGCCAGGTCAAGGGCCAAGGAGCCCAAGACTAGAAGGCAATCTACAACACTTCCTGGGGCTATCAGAACCGTCTCTCACCACAACCTGCCGCCCTAGGACAGGCCGAGAAGGCACTTCTCTTTGAGAAGGTTGTTGCCAGCCACTTGGCAGCCCCAAACCACGAAAGAAACACAAACTCACCTCCGTGAAACATGGCCCGGTTACAGAGCTCTGTCCAGTTATCGCCTGCTCCTAACAGAGCGTCATAGGCAATCATGGGAGCATCATGGCCTCTTCTACCCCCTCGGCCTTCTGAGCTCCATTTCTTGTAAGTCTGATGAGAGAGCCATCAGTCAGAGGCACGTCCCCCAAATAAAACCAGGTGAGTTGTCAGGCAAAGCAAAAGTATCCATACGTTAATTCCCATTGGACTGTAAATTCATTCATTCATTCATTCACTATACATTTCTTGAGCATCACCCTTGTGCTAGGTGTTACTCCAATGGTGGGGGACATGACAAAGCAGAAGAAGACTCCATTCCCATGGCTCTTCTATTCCAAGAGCTGAAGTCGACATGAAGCAAATCAAGCCCATGTCATGCTGGGCTGTGGTAGAAGGAAAGGTCGGAGAAGCGCTCTCTGAAGAGGTGACACTTCAGTAGCGATCTGAATAAAGTGAAGGTACAAGCATTTTAGACAAAGGGTTCAGCAAGTGCTGTGGCTTTGAGGCAAGCTTGGCAGGGCCACAGAAGGGCCAAGTGTAAGGGAGGAGGTGCTGGTGAACGTGGTCAGAACAGCAGGCAGGGCTCGGATCAGGGCAGGACCCAGAGACCATCCCAAAAGACCTTGGCATTTGTTCTCTGTGTGATGGGAATCCAAGTGTGTGGGAAGGAGAGCGAGTGTCCTGCAGGTTTGAAAAAGAGTGGCTGTGGTTGCTGGGTGGAGAAGAGACTGAAGACAGAGGTCAGAGCCAGGGCAAGGGCAGCAGTGGACACTGGTAGTTGGACCCCCACATCCACGCGCCTCTATCTTGCCTCATCACAGACACCGAGTGTACTCAGGGCTGTCATGTCTCCATCACTGCATTGAGGTGAGGTGTACGGGATGGACGTAAGTAATGGGGTTGGAGGGATCACCTTGAAAGGGAAAATGTGAACCCCCCCCACTCCACCCCCACCCCCGCTACTTTCTTCCCTCCCCTGGGAACCTCAACAATCTGTTCCCTTGGTACGAGAGTCCTTGTCTTGGTGTTTGTCCTTCCAGTAGTGTCTCCTACAGTACTGGCCCTGTGTGACCGACTGATTTCACTCTGCACGATATTCTCCAGGTGCACCCATGCCATGACTTGCTGTGTGTTCTCGGCATTGCTTTTGAAGGAGGCATGGGATCCCATTGTGGGGACGGGAGGATGGAGGCAAGCAGGGGAGAGAGGTGGGGCGGACCCAGGTGGGGAGAGGAAGAGTGATTTGACCTGTTGAACGCAGAGGTGATGATCTGAAATGTAAACACTCCCCCGCCCCCAAATTCACCATAAATAAACCACACACATGCACGCACACACGCATTCACGTAGACATGAAGGGAAGGAAGGAGGGGTGGAACTCCCCTCCATGGCTAATGGGAATGTCAAGTGGTGCAGCTTCTCATTTTGGCAGTTGCTCAAAAAGTGGAACCGAGGCCATAGGGGCTCCGCGATCCCAATCCCAGGTGCACTCCCTGGAGATTTGCAAACAAGAATTCACGCAGAAAGCCCAACTCCACTGTTCACTGTCGCACTGTCCTCCACAGCCCAAAGGTGGAGACGAGCGAGACATTCATTAAGCAACAGGGGTTACCTTGTCTCTCTCCTCGGCGTTATAATTCTCAGGAAAGGTGGCTTTGTTTCCGTTGTCTTCAGCAATTTTCCTCTCCTCCAAATAAAACTGCCATTTCGCTTCAAAGTAAAACCAGTGCTCCTGGTATTCTACACGGGAAGAAGAGGGCAAGACTGACACGGGGGTTAGGCTGGTGATCAGCGTACTGGGAGGATGGATGGGTACAGAGAAGCTGTCAGTCAAAAAGGGGAAACCCAACCTCAACAGAAGGTTTGGAGAAGGTGGGCGGCCCCAGCCCTTTGTCCCTGGGGTCCGCTATTTGGCAATTGCTCCTGAGATTTGAAAATGGCTTATGTTGAACAAAAGAGGAGCCGGGCCCGAGCGGAAGGGGGAGGTCCGTCCGCGTTGGAAATGGAGGCAAAGGGAAAGGAGCACAGCTGGCCGCTGCGGTTCTGGACTTGGTTTCTCCAACCAGAGAAGCGCCAGGAGACCCTTGCAGGGCACAGCTTCACTAGGGTAAGTGTCTGGGTGATGGGGTGGGGGGGCAACCCGGGGGGGCAACCCAGCCCTCAGAAATGCTGGGCGGACTTAGTTTAAAACAAGAAAGCAAGCAAAGGCAGAAGGCAGAAGGCAAGCCTTGGCAGCAAGGGTTCATGCTGTGAACTGAGATGACAAGTGTCAGTCTCGGAAACCCGGGGCAGGACTCCACGGTATAGACACCTGCGGACCCCGGAAGGACCCGTACTTCCGGATAATTGGCTGGTTCCAGAGTAAGCGGAGTGCTGCTCCGAGGGGCACAGTCCCGCATGCATGTTTTATTCCCAACGGTGTGCCTCGCCCATCATCTCTGTGATCGGAATTCAGGCTGCAGGCAAGTGTTTTGTTGCCACACATTCCCCACCCCCAGTAATATACATTTAACATGGCATCATTGGGATGCATTAAAATATCCAGTTGAGGTAATTGCTTCAAGGGGATCTATTGGTCCAGTTCAATTCAAGGCAGACAGGTCGGCTCAGAAAATTGTGGTGGCTTTTTTGTTTGTTTTTTTAACTCCTAAGGAGTCACTTTGATGGATTTTCTTGACGGTCCCGGAACAATCCCCAAACCTGTTGTCATTGAGCCTGTGCCAGTTCATGGCACTCCTATAAGGCGGAAGACAACCACTCCGAAAGTTGCCGAAACTGTCCATTTTTTGGTGGTTTTTGTAGGAAGAATTTTTAAGAAAATTGAAAACTGCATGGGTCAGAAACAAACCAGAAAAATTGGGCTTAGGAATTGTTTTCCATCATTTTTTTAACTCACATTTTGGAGTTAACAAGGGCTTTCCAACAGGAACTTTATTGGGAAATCCTACCCCACCCACTCTCCTGCCCGATCTTGCCCTTCAGACATCTTTTTATTCTTCAGACTCAAGGAACAGTGAAAAGGAACATGATTCCATGGCCCCTGAGGACGCCCTGCTGGCATTTGGATGTAGTGTAAAGTGAAGAGCCCGGGTTCTCTGGGGAAGGGCTAGGGATGGAAATGCCACCTTCAGAAGCGTATAAACCTCGATGAAGGATATGCTGAGGAACCATAGCTTCACATTCTCATGTTTCTTTAATAAAGGTTTCTAGGGTTTTATAATACTACTTTCTGACTGACCCTCGTGTTTGGGTAAGGGCTTAAAATAAAAACAGTCTCCTTCCCCACAACTACCAGGACCCTAGTTCTGCCTTGCAGACCTGGCTAGACCAGATGATGCACAGCGGTACAGATGGGAATTGGAAACACAGGGAATCTAGGACAGATGAACCACTCAGGACCAGGGGTGACAGTAGCGATACCAGGAGGGAAGAAAGGGGGAATTGATCACAGGGAGCTACATATAACCTCCTCTCTGGGGGATGGGCAACAGAGGGGTAGGCGAAGGGAGACGCCAGGCAGTG